CGGTGGGTTTGGACGCTCACGGAAAATGCAGGCACAATGCCCAGCAGCAGATGCTGCCCAAAGCCGACGGCGGCCGCTGTTGGCCAGGCGAGCTTGTGCCTCGAGTGACCAACGACCGCCGCGAAGCCGAGAACGGCAACGAACAGCAACTGTGGGGGCCCAGTCGCTCGGCGCGCCTCGCGCGCCTAGCCACAGCTCCGACGCCCGTTCCCCGTGCACGTTGTCGGCTTCGCGCGTGCTCTCTCCTTGCCGGCTGATCGGCGATGCTCCTCTCGATGGTCCTCGCTGGAAGAGAGGGGAGGCACACGTCCGAGGGATGCCAAGGCGCTGGCCCGCCGCCCCCTCCCTGCTTCAGCGATCTTGCGCTAACCTCCTTCTCCTCCTCCTCCTCCTCCTCTTCCTCCTCCTCCTCCTCCTCCTCCTCCTCCTCCTCCGCCTCACCACCCTCCTCCTCTCTTCCCCTCCCCTCCCTCCTTCCTCTCCCCGTTGGCCCCTCCCTCCTCCCTGCCTCCTCCTCCTCCCTGGACATGGTCATGGTGCTGCTCGCCGGATGTGTACAATTCCAGCGGCACGGTCGGGGGCCCAGCACCCCAGGCCGTGGCCAGGTCCCCGCGGTCGCGGCCGCCCGGCGGCCGCGAGGAGTCCGGCGAGGCTCTGCCCCTTCTCGCCATCCCTCGGACGTCCGTCCCTCGCGCATGCTGCGGTTTTTCGCGCGTGTATGTGCTGCCAGAGGACCAGGAGTGCTGCTCGCCGCATGCACGCGCCCGGGGGACGCCGAGCCTCGGGCTGTCCTATCCTGCTCTCCTCATCCTCCCTCTTCGGGGCCGTGGCTCTGGCCGTCCTGCGGGCCACCCCCATCTGGCTCGAGCTGGTCTTGCGTTATGCCGAGTCGACGATCCATAGTGTGTGTGTGTGTGTTTTGTGTTTCCCCCCTCCCGAAGAACTCCCGTCGGCAGGATCTGTGGTGCTTTCGGCCCCTGGGGGGGCCCTCGCCAGGCCCCAGGACCGTCCGGAAGGCGGGGCAGCGAGAGAGCCGGACTGGCTCGGGGGGGGGGGACCCCCTCCCAGGCCTGTTCTCGCCGTGAAGAACTCCCGTCGAAGGGGTTCGTGCTGCTCATTGCCTCTGGGAGCCCTCGCCAGGCCCCAGGACCGTCCGAAACTTAGCTGCCCCGACACGCATCACGCAGCACGTCGCGTATTGATACGGAGGGCATGACGTGGACTGAAAACGCAAGTCCGACGCGAGCGATTGCCGAATACGTTGAGCCAACACGCAACGTATCGACACGGACGTTTTGAGCACGGCACGTGTTGATTATCAAAGTGGGCGTATCGAGACAAATAACATCAGAAATGAGGGGCAATGATAGGGGAAAAACTGGCTCAGGAGGGAAGCACCGCCCTGAAATCCGCGATACATCGGCGATAGATCGGCGATAGGCCCCCGATAACACATCCGCACGTTCCTAGGCGGGGTGGGCTGTCGGGCCCTCATCGGCAGTGAATGGGTGATTGGAGGTCGATACATTCACCCCTGAGCAAATCCCCCCTCACGTTGCCCCTGAAGAAGACGACTAGGGACGATCCCGAGGAATGGGTCCAGACCTCTGAGGGTCGACGCTGCGAAACGAGGGGGGAGGTATGGGAGGGGGGATGGTTGGGGGTGGGGGGGGGCCCTGGGTCAGACTACCGCCCCGCATGGGATCCAGCGGCCCCCCCCTCTCCCCTCCTCGGTCCCCGCTGTGAACAGGGAGGACAAAGGGGGGGGGGGGGGTACACCCCGTGAGGGCGGGGTCCTGGAAGGGGGCCCAGGAGGAGGCCCCGCCTGTGAAGAGGGAGGGTGGTCCTGGGTCAGAATGCCGCCCCCGGCGGACCCCGGATGTGGGCGCCAGCGGGGATCCCGGTGGAGGTCCCGCATTCAGGGTCGGCGGCACCGGCCGCAAGGCCTTCACAACAACAGCACGACGAAAGACTACTCGCAAGGTGCCTCCTCACAGACTTCCGAAAGAACACCTGCGTGCCTCGATGGAATAGATCGTAGATTACCCGCGGCGGATCCAGGTCATTTGCGAGTACAGTCAAAATCTGTAGTGAGGACGCGCTGCAAGGACGCAAGATCCTCGGACGGTCCTCTGGACGCCCCAGCTGAAGCTCTTCTAGCGGCGCACTGCCGAACAAACACCAGGGACGCAAGGGTGCCCTTGGGAAGGTTGCCCGTCGTCGCTGTGGATTTGCACTGTAGCTACATTCGCGGGGCGCACTTGTACATCATGAAAACTCGGGAATCTGCTGACCCGGGTCAATCCAGGCCCGGGCCAATCAGGCCTTGCAAAATCCTGCACAATCCTCCACGCAAACCCGGGTCAATGCGAAGGATCCTGCAAGATC